CGTGCACATAGGGCAGCCGATTGTCCTCGTGCACATGGATACATCAAATCCAGAATATTCCCAAGTTGATGTTTTAGGTCTGGCCATGGACAAGTTGAGGCTGCCTGGGCTCCTTTGACCTGACTACAACCGTAACATCTGTGCTTATACAGGCTCCATTTCTTTATCTCCCAGATTTAACTTGCCCTTTCTCCCTCTATGTAACAGAAAAGGAGGGATATGTCCTTGATGTCCTAGGACACCAGTTGGGATCTTCCTTTGCACGTGTGGCATATCTGTTAAAGGAGCTGGACCTCACCACTCAGTGCTGGGCACCTGCATATGTGCTTTAGCGGCTGCTGATCTTATTTGTGAGTTAAAGAAACTAAACTTTGGATCACCTATCACTGTGTTCTCCCACCACAATCTGTCCCATCTTTTAACTTACAAAGACTTACTATCCTTACCCGCTTCCCGAATTCTTTCCTTCCGGGTGGCAGTAGTAGAATTTGCCATACTCACTTTCCAATCCTGCCCACCCCTTAATAACTCAAATCTCCTACCTCAATCTAACATTAATTATTTCCCCTCTCATTCCTGCATAGAAACCCTAAAGGATCTACTGTCCCACCTCTCACATATACAGGAGAGCAAACTGTCCCTGGCCACTTATGCCTGGTACACAGATAGCATTCCTTTTTATGTGAGGGGACCCATAGAGCAGACTATGCCATAGTGTCAAATACTGGGTTGGTAGAGGAACAGGCACTCCCTGCCCATACCACTAATCAGCAGACTGAATTAATAGCCTTTACCCGTGCCTTCCAGTTAGCAAAGGGATAATCTTTAAATGTTAACATAGACTCCAAATATGTCTTTCATATCACCCTATTTCACACAGCTATCTAGAAGGAGCGTAAGCTCCTTATGATGAAAGGAGGATCCATAATAACTCAGGTTACATTATGGACATGTTAAAAGCCTCCCATCACCCAACGCTATAGGAATTATTCACTGCCTGTCTCATCAGACCAACTGTTCCATTATTTCTAAGGGAAATAACCAGCCTGACCAAGTAGCTAGAACAGCAGCTTTCCAGAGCCCAAGCCTACCTCAGTTACCTCAGGGGGTTCATACAGTACAGGCCACATTCTCACAGTCACCTCCTAACACTTGGCAAATTCAGTCCTACTTACATCAGCTCATTTATCCTAATAGCAAAGCTCTGTTTCATTTTGTCAAGGCTCACCTCCAACCCATCCCTGAGGACTTAAGTGTTCTTAAAAGCTATTGCTGCTTCTTGTAAAATCTGTCAAAAGTCAGATCCCAAGACCAAGTATTAAAGCTTCCTTTTCCTTCTAGGAACTGACTAGCAGCTTGATTTTACTTATATGTCCACAGTCTGATGAGTTAAATATCTCCTGGTTTTGGTGGAAATCTTGCCTGTGTAGATTGAAGTGTTCCCCACCACTAATAAGAGGGCCCAGAAAATTTCAGATGTTGTTCTCTAAGAAATTATCCCCTGGTTTGGAATCCCAACATCTCTTCAGTTGGATACTGGCCCAGAGTTTATCTCCTAGCTCTCTCAACTTTATCTAAGGTTCTTTAACATTCCCTGGCATTTTAATATCCCACACCATCCTCAGTCTTCAGGGAAGGTAGAATGAACTAACCATTCCTTAAAAAATGTTCTTGTTAAGATGTCACAGGAGCTTCAGCTTGACTGGGAAAATATTTTGCCTTTGGCCCTTCTTAGGCTTAGAGCTCTCCCAAAAAGATCCTTTTCCATCTTGCCTTTAACTCATGTATGGGCAGCCAGTTTTAATCCCCAGTCTTTCACCTAAAAACCCTTCCCTAGCAGATGACCTGCTTACTCCACTGTTATCCAATCTTCCCTCACTATTATGGGATTTTACCAACTACTCATTACCTCAACCATGTGTGAATCCATGCCTACCATTGAATAAAATAGATCAGGTACTATTCTCCCCCACTAGACCAACACCTCTCACGTTTTTCCCCTAAATGGTAGGACCCTTTTAAAGTAATTCTTGTAACTCCCACAGCTGCCAAGCTAGAGGGACTCTCTCATTGGATACACCTGTCTCATCTTAAACCTTTTACTCTCAAAGCTCAAGAAAGCCCTTTGTATATGGTAACTTATGCTCCCTTAATTTCCAGAGGATACCACAATCAGCCACTTTTTCTCCAGTTCCAGAAAAGTAAAAGTCTCATCATCATACTCAACTCTCTTTTGCCCAAAAACTCCATATACTCTCCCTCTTCCTCCTATCTGTTTTACCAACTTCTCTATATTTCCAATTCATACTTAAATTTCCAGTTAACCACTCAGTTGTTATTATAGGGCCTGGTGCAGGAGAATTGTCTGCATTCTGCCAATCATGTTTTAAATAAATGCTGATTGGCCAGGTAGGAAGTATAGACGGGTCAACCAGACAGGAAGTAGAGGCAGGATGATGAGAACAGGAGAATTTTGGAAAGGAGGAAGCCCATTCCTCCCCAGTCTTGCCCAGACAACCAAAGAAGCAGGGTGTGACCTGCCAGCTGAAAAATGTACTGAGCCATGTGGCTAACACAAATAAGAATGGGTTAATATAAGGTACAAGACCTAATAAGAAGCCTGAGCTAATGGGCCAATCAGTTTATAATCTTATGGAGACCTCTGTGTGATTTTCTCTGGAACTAAAATGGCTGGGGGACCAGGTAGGATAGAACCCCAACAAGCCAGTCATCATGTTACAGGGACCATCATTAAACATAGAGTCAGAGGTACAAAGACTGCCAAAAGCCAAGGTGGTAAGAAACAATGAAGAATTTAAGGACATTCACAACCCCAGACTCTAAAAAACTCACAAAACAGATTTTAACTTAACAGGTGTATCACTGACTGCAACAATGTCTCCTGGATTTTAAAGTGATACCATGATGGAAAAGAGAACAAGTGTCTTAAGATATGCTTCAGGTAAAACATTGAGGGGTCTAGTACTCTCCTTTCTAATAAGTCCACCTTCTATTCTTCCCCCCTCCCCACCATTTTCTATTCCAACACTATGCTCTCATAATCATAAGCTTTTAATAAGTCTAAAATTTATTTCTTTTCAAACTTTTTCATAAGCTCCGGGGAGCAAATTGGATCTATCTAAATGGAGCAGACTCACCAAGAATAAGTATTATTTAATTCATCCCTTATTATTCCTGGTCTTGGGAATCCCTGGGAAATTCCCCCCTCCACTCCACCCCCCAAAAAATCCCTCCAAATTTAGACTCTCTTCCCTCAATCAACAGGATCTAAAATTTTTCCAAAAATAACTTTCTGCTTTTCCAGAATATCGTGAGGTCCAAGGTGCTAGCCAGCCAGTTCCACAGAGCCTGAAAAAACCTGAAAGTAATCAGCCACCCCAGTACGAGGTCAAGCAGCTCAACTCTCCGATTCCCACACAATCATCGAAAAGCAGTCTCAAAAGACCTGACAATGCCCACAAAATTAGAAAGAAAAAGTCACAAGAGACCTGATGACACCCCATTCTCACCTATTAAAGACTCCAAATTCCCCAAAGTTTTATAATAAACAAAAGGAATGCCTATGGCTGGCATTTCTGGGTTCCAGTGCCACGCATGTGTGGATAAGCCCTCAGGCAAAAATACCTAGCCACCAGAGGGACCTTAAAAGGCCTTGTGTGACCCATGGGTGTCATGGTTGCATCACATACGTATGACTCAGCTATGTAAGCCCTTGCACACATGCATGAGCTTTGTCACCTGCATATGATGTAGCTAAGTCATAGACATGCACATGCGCTAGGCAGCCTTTAAAAGATGGAACACGATCTTCAGACTCTCTTTCTGCACATCGACTTCACCAGACCTGTACATATCTCCTCTAATAAACTTTTAAGCAGATTTGTTGCATATTTCATGCTTCCTTCTCACTCTTGTCAGGTAATTTCAGATTCCATTAAGCCAGGCAACATACTTAACTCCATATTTTACTACTTATTCATGTGACTTTATAAATAAGTGGGTAGATTATATGTACTAATAATGATTAGCTCCTAGTCACCAAGAATGAATCCATGTCCCATTACGGAAAGAAATAAAAGCACTTCGCCTTGGATTCATTTAGCCAAGAATTAGTTCAGATTGGATTCTATACTTCACATTTTCTGTGTCTTTCATTCTGTCTGTCTGCATGACTATGAAACTATGCCTCCTTGAAGGCTGTCTCCTGAATCTGTTTGTTACTGTCTGTCCTTGTGTTAGTCTGTTAGGTGACTATGTGTGTGTTTGAGTGACTGGTGTGTCTCTAAGAGAAAATGTCACTCTGTCTTCATTGAAAATCAGAAAGCAACAAATAGGTAAGGAATGAGATACTTTACAGAAATCTTTAAGTTCGAGAAGGGACTCCAACTGGCTCCAACTGGTTATAATTGGTTCAGATAACAAATACATTACTTAGCAACTGATATCCGAGAAAGATCCTTTCAACATTTATAGTACACTTTAACAAGTTGTTTAGAACTTCTGTATTTGCTGTTTTCACAAAATGAAATACATGAACTGTTCTGGGCCAGGGGGCATGCTAGAGTATAATTTAGATTGCAGCTTAGGCAGTAAAAGGAAATCCAAAGAAAGTAAGATTACTACACAGTTCTCTTAAAAGTTAGAGTCACAATTGAACATTCCTTTTTTTTTCTCATGAATTCGTTTAAAGCACTGTAAAATTTCAAGAGCAGAAACATGAAAACTAATTTTAAGTTGAACATCTCATTTAAAATGTGATTATCTTGGTTTTTAGAAAGGTAATTTTCATTTCCTTCTGGTCTCCTGATACTCTTGTAATTCTCAATTTCTGAATATTTTGAAGATCAAAGATCACTATAACATTTGCTTTGATCTGCTACACATTTGTTTTGAAATATATAAGTTCAGATGCAAGCAGAGACTGCTTTTTCGTTTCCTGGCTGCCCTAACCCAAGTAATCACATAAAAACTATATTAATTAAAACACAGCTTGATCTATTATCTCAGGCTTCTTATTAACTAACTGTTACATCTTAAATTAAGTCATTTCTATTGATCTATGCATCACCACAAGATTGTGCCCTACTGGTTAATTTTCCAGTGTCTGTCTCCTTCGTTATTATCTAGGAATACACCTAAGCTATTAGCAAAACACAGTTGTAATCAATACAGTTTGTGTGATTATTTGGGTCTGGGAAGCCTGAAAATGAATGAGAAGTCTGTTTACATTCAGGTGTAACATAAATGTATAGTTGAACAATTTCCATACTAATGTTTTTATTTTTTACCACTTGTTTCTCAAGTTTACTAATCCTCTCAAAATCTAAATCCCCATCAATTTTAGGATATTCAGTTTTTTAATCTGTCATAACAGCAAACCCCATACAGTACTCATATCATTTATAATTGCTTAAAAGTTAATAAATTATACTTATTATTGCACCATTATTTATGGTGGTTATAAAAAGCTCAAATGAGAGTGTGTGTGTGTGCATATATATACACACACACATATATATATATATGTATATGTATATACATATATATATATATGAATTTCCCAGCTCCTATAATTCTTGAGTAAATTCAACTCCAATTTTATTCTTCCCAGTGCATACCCCACAGCATCTTAAATGAAAATACACCTGTATGGCCAGTGTGAGTCCTGTTGGGCATTACTATGGATTGTGCTAATATTTTTTCAGTCAGCTCAATTCTTCAATGATTATTAATTATTTTTAAGAGATTTAAAATAAATTCATGTGTATAGTTTTTGCCTGAATTTATGTATGTGCACTTCATGCATTCTTGGTTCCAAAGGCCAGAAGAAAGCACAGAACCCATTGGAACTAAAAAAAGGTTATAAAGGTTATTAACCTCATCTCCAGTCCCCATTTGTTTTTGAGACAGGTTTGCAAGTACCCCAGTACTCCATAATTTGCTCTGTGGCTAAGTATAACGTTGAATTCCTGACCCTTCTGTCTACAACTTCTAAGTGCTCTTCTATAACTTCTTTAGCAAACTTTGCTGCTGCTGCTGCTGTTGCCAGTCTCTCGTCATCTCATCCTGGCCTGTTAAAGAAAATAGCAAATGTTTAGACTGACCAGGGTGGAGCAAATGCTCTGCCATCATAAAGCAGATGGCATTAACTGTTAAGAGTTAAAGGGTGAAGTGGCAGAGGACACTCTCTTGTTCAGTTTGACAGTATCAAATTGGGCACTTGGTTTCAGCTTTGAATCACAGCAAAAAAGAACAAAGAACACAAGAAAGGCATGAAAGACTTTGCTCATTGTTTCTCACAGTGGCTTCATTCTCGGGAGATTTATTTTTATAACATCCATTGGCTTATGAGTTGCAACAGATAAATGCAGGCTAATGGATGTTGCAGGCTAATAGGATTTCCTGCTGTTCAAAATCGTCCCAAGGAGACAAAGCATCCTAGAGACAGCTTGTGTTTCAGGAATCTTAATGTTACTGTTACACACCTTTTGATTTTTTGTAATTTCATCCCTTCCCCAATCTCTATACTTAAAATTTATACAGTAGTAGGAAACTCCTGGTAACTTCTCTTATACCTATTCAGTGTAATTCACCTTTGTGTTTGAGTCAATAACTGGAAGAACAAAACACCATTTACAAGCCAGTCATATTCTAATCTGTTTCTGTGTGTTTACATTTTCAATGTGAAAAACACAGAGAAAAAGTGCTATACTTTATTAAGTTTTCTAAGAAGGATGTTAATTTCAGGTAATCTTTTAAAGATTCAGACATAGGTGTAACCTAGCAGTTACACAATATAGTCACTTTGGCAACCTATGAAGCCACAGAACAAGGCATATTATATTTGTTTATTAGTCTTCATTTTGGTTCTACCATACAAGTAAATGTGTCTTATAAATTCTTTTTTAAAAATCATTTATATATAATTTGAAAGTTCTATATATTGATACATGTTTTAACCAGAGCCATCTATCACTACCACTCTCCAATTCTCCCCAATCTCTTCTCCCCATCTTCCTCCCATCTTCAAGATTTATTTTCTGATTTTTGATTTTAATATCCCCAAGTCCTATTAGTGCCATCCATATGCACATGCTAACTTGGCAAGCTGACAAACTGCATTATAAATATTTTCTATTCCCATAGACTTATGCTGATCTCAACTTTGGTCAGAATAGCTTCTTTCTGCACTGCATAACAGTTAATGTAGAGACCCATAACTGACCTAAGTGCTGATTATAAATATCTCTAGGGTGCTCATCTGATAGGTCACCCATGTTCTAAGGACTCTTGACAAGTGCAAAAATCTCGATTAAAATGGGCATTCTTGGCTATCTAACAGTACTGTGAAAATAAAAAAAAATGTTTCTTGATATTTATAACATAACTTAAAGACCCAAGTACATTTGATTAGTAATATACACATGTCATGGGTTACATATATTTTTCTTTTTACATACATGGGATAGAAAATTGTTATTAAGCAAGAATAAAAGAAAGATTTTGAGCTATATAATATGCCTTCTAGGGGTACACTGATTGCCAAAGTAGATACATTTTATAGTTGCTAGGCAACCCTTATAACAGAAACTTTTAAACTTTTACCTGGAATGGAACATCCTTCTTAAAACTCTTACTAAAGTTTAGCATTTTTTCCTCTGTATTTTTCATAATGAAAAAGTACACACATAAAAACAACGTGGGGTCTAGGATGATTATTACCAAATTTTATGCTCAAAGTTCCAGAAATTCTATAATCCTGTTTTCTTCCCATCAGACATTTCCTATCATCTTGAAGGAAAACATGTGTATGGAGAAAGAGAAATGTGAAATAAGGTAATTTATTATATCCAATGCTTATTACGTTTTTATACTCTTTATACCCAGTGCAGAGCACTTTGGTAAATCTGAACTTAGGGAACCTATTCCTCTTGCTAGACTCAACCCAAGATTCCAGGATGCGATTACCTTGAGACCAGCTGTGATGTACAGATGCAAAATGATTTCACCTATTGAAAAAAAAAAGAACAAAAGTCATAATAGCGGTGACCTCCTCCAGATCAACGACAGAGCAGGTACTGGGTATTTGAAACCATTAGCTCATATCTTTCTGGGTGAGATACTCTCCCTCTTCTCCTCCCAACTGTTCCCTCCCCTACTTCATTCCCTTCCCCTTCCCTACACACATATCTCTTACCCTTCTTCCTCCCAATTACTTCTTTCTCACCCTTTTTCTCTCCCTTATCTACTTCCACTTTTGTCTTCTTCCTCCCATGATCTCCTCCTTCTCCTGTCCCATTCCTCTCCAATATCTCCAATGATATCTTCCAGTTGAAGAATTATGATCTAGGAAATATATCACAATGTTAATAGTCATATATTTATTAAACAGTCAAAGGCTCAGTATTCTATACTTTTTACGATAAACAAATTTTATAATTAAGAGAAAATGGCAAGGTTTCATAGCATGGCATTTATTTGACATTTATTTTAGGGTGCAATAAAAGAACAGGAAAGCTTATCAAATGTAATGAAAGGCAAAGTAAAACACATTACAATAAAAATATGGTTTCAATTACACAATATACTATGATGTAACTTTTTAAAATACTATATTCAACACCTTAGTGGGAAATAATACTTTTGCTTATAGAACAATATTTCACACACACTAATTTGGAACTGACAGATATTTTTAAATATATCATATTTTTTCAAGCAATTACATTTCACAATAGAATGTTTTACTTAGAATTATTACTACATGTCTATGGCAAAGTAATGAAGGCACAACTAGTGCAAGCAGATTTAAGTCCTTAATCTTCTGTGCTGAAAAAAGAAAGAGAAAACACATATACATTGACATTTAAGTTTTGCTTTTTCAGGCAAAAATTTGTCTATCGAGTTTGATGATTTGCACAGGTACAATCTAATAGGAACATGACAAAACGACTTCACAAAACCAACACTGTAGCACCAAACAAAACATGCTTTGCAAAATTAACAGTAGTTTACATATTTTGAAGAATATTTCAACAGGCAAGGTAGAATAGCAGATGCATAAGACACTATTTTAGGACATTACCAGTAAAAAATGAAAACACCAGACTATAAGGAGCAATAGTGTTCAGATTATAGGGTAAGTTTTGTCTTTTACAAGGTTAGGTAAATCTGTTTCACTTCTGCTTGCTTGACTTTTTAATGTTCTTGAAAAGCCTTTCAAGTTGCCTTTTTCACTTGTAGTACTTCCTGTTTCCATAATCCCTGACATCATGGTAATAGGGATCATTGATTTCTCCTGTGAAATAATAGATTGATTTCAAGATAACATTATCATGCAAAATTTGACCAATTTCAAAGTCCTCATCAAGTATAGCATCTTCTCTTGGTTCCAGCTTCCCAATCAAAGGAATCTCAGGAGGACTAAAGAAATTGAAGAAGGATGCATTAGGAACCACTCTTGGCTGGACTTCAGTTTCTCCAGTGGCAGCTGGGCGACTCCGGGTAGTTGTCACTGTAACATCTTTTCCTCGTCTCCAGTCTATTTTGCAGCCTTTGCACTCTTCAATTTCCCATCCCCAAGCAAAGAAAGGGTCATAGTGATCTGGTTTCGACCTTATTATGTATGTCTTCACCAGGAACTCATTTCTGAAGTATGGGTTAGGCAAGAAGTGAAATTCAAAAGTATAACTTATAGGCTGGCCAGGATTTGAGAACTTCAGGCTAACATCGGATAAGAACTTCAAAATGGGCTCATCATATTTCTGAATCATAGGCCCAAGCTTATCAACATTCTTTAAAACAGTCAGCCAGTAGTCAGGAATGCCTTTAGGATCTTCTCTCTTAGGCTTTCCCTTTCGAGCCCTTTTAACATTACCTCCTTCTTCAGGCCTTGTCTCAGGAACTCTTTTTTGAGCCTCTCTTACTGGAGCCCTTGCTTTAGATTCTTCTGTAGGCTGATCCTTATTTTCTGCATTTGCCTGGGGAACTTCTTTGGGGTCTTCTTTTTCTTCAGGATTTATCTCTATATAATCTGCAGAGTTTGCCTTTTCTTCAAACTTTACCTCAGGAATTTCTTCAGAGGCTTCTTTTTCTTCAAGCTTTACCTCAGGAATTTCTTCAGAGGCTTCCTTTTCTTCAGCCTTTACCTCAAGAATTTCTTCAGTGACTTCCTTTTCTTGAACTTTTTCTTCAGGTACTTCCTTTGGAATTTCTTTTTCTTCAGTTTTCACCGCAGAAATTTCTTTAGGAGCTTTGCTGTCTTCAACTTTTGCCTCAGGAACTTCTTTTGGAACATCCTTTTCTTCTTCCTTTACTTCAGATTTTTCTTTACAGCTTTCTTCTTCTTCATCACCCTCTAAGGGTGGCATTTCATTAGGTGTGTCATCCTGCATTTCCTCATCGTCACTGAACTCTTCTTCTGAATTCCACTCACATTCTTCTTCTGTAGGCTCATATTCTGCATTTATGATCTGAAAACGCTTATCATAAAGAGGCTTATTGAGTTCAGCATATTTTCTTTCAAGATCATGAATTGCCCTTAAAAACAAGGTGTCTACCTTGTCACACTCATTCTGAATATTTCGCAGTGCCTGCACCCGATTTCTCACAGCCTGAGGCAGCTTATCCATAAAATGTTTCCCGGAGGGATGCCGCTGGGCCCTTCTGGAAGGCTCAGGTACCCTCTTCTTTCGGTATACTTGACTGCCACTGCTGCTGCTACTACTGCTACTGCTGCTGCTGCTGCTACTGCTGCTGCTGCTGCTGCTGCTGCTGCTGCTGCTGCTGCCGCTGCTGCTGCTGCTGTTGCAACTAGAGGTACTGCTAGAGCTATTGCTGTCAGATTCTTCCCCAGAATCACTAGCTGAGCTAGCCATCACCTCTTCAGCAACCCCATGGGCAGCAGGTTCTGTGATCATTTTAGGATCCGCTTCTGCCATGCTGCTAGTCCCGCAAACCTCTTTAAAGTGGTGACAAATGAGATCGCACACCCAGAGATGGGCAGAAATGACTCACGGACGCTCCGGAGGCAGCTGCGAAGGCCCGGGCTATCAGGCGGCGGCGGCGGCGGCGGCGGCGGCGGCGCAGGAGGAGACAAGCGACAGGCTACCGGCAGCGACAAGGACTGCAGTGACTGCGGCGGTGGAGCGGCCTGGGCGGGGCTACGGAGGCGGCGCTCAGGAAGCCGCGGCAGCGGAAGCTGGCCCGGAACCTTGGCGACAAGGGCTGTTCAGCCGCAATAAACCGGGGCCGAGACGTGCTGCAGTCGAATGGCGCAGTACCGAAGCCAGAATGGGCTTCTGGGTTAGGATGGAGAGCCCCTCCCTTTGCTGACACCCTCTCATTAATTTCGTTCCCCGGATGCCTGTAGTCGCTCCTCATTTGCTGAACAGGCTGGATTGACTAGGGTTAAGGCCAACGAAAGGCCTAAGGCGGCCGCTCTCTCTCCTGGCTCCTCCCACCTTCCCAGATGCTCCTTAGTGGCTAAGGCACCCTTCCCCCAACCCTAGACCGGGTCTCTCTTAACAACATTCTCTCCTTATGTGGTTTCTAATTCAAAGGGAGATAAAGAAATTTAAAAAAAAAAAAAAGCGTAGACATGAGGTAAAAATTCCAGCTATAATTCCTAGCAACGGAAAAAAAAAAAAAAAAGAATCCCTTTAGCTCAGCAGCCCAGAATTCCTGTTTGGTTGAACAAGGCCTCCACACCGCGAACTGTTAATGAAAAAAAAAAAAAAAAAAAACCTCTAAATGGCGTCATTGCATGCTGTGACTGGATAATTGGGGGTGGGTGGGAAGGGACACGCAAACAAAAATGATTTTCTCTAAATATTCTATGAGCATGTGTTTTCACACTTGAAAAGGGGGAGTCGTTTATTGGCAGAGGGGGGAGGGGCCAGACAGCAGGCATATTGCATTCCACGTAGCAGATTTAATAAGTGCTGTCTGTGATGTTTGGCAATCCTGGTTTATCTGGTTTATATCCATCTACAAGGTTTGCGAACCCATGTTGCCGTGAGTCAGTCACATCATTTTTTTAAAATCGTATTTCTGTTTTAAAGCTGGCATATACTGTACTCTAATCGTATTGCTAAATTGCCACGTAGTCCTTTTCAATGCTTGCAGCAAAATTTTAGATAAAACAAAGGGGGATTAAAATATAAGGTGGTATTTTTTTTATCGGAGAATTTATTTCAGACTTTTGTGCAGCAGGTTTCAATTCCACGAACAGCAGGATGGGAGGAGGGGTTGTTATAACGCAAGTGCATCATCTGTAAGCGTTTAAGATGTCATCTGTCACCAATTTCCTTCTAATTTTGAATTGTATCCATATTAAAAGGATGATTTACAAGTCCAGCAATATGTAAACAAACTTTTGCTAAATGAAGTTTAAAAACAGATATTTGCTATTTTTATTTACAGGATTCAGTTCTGCTACAACCAAAAAGACCAGTGTTCACTTTCCGTTGAAAGGTAAGGACATATTAACACCCTTTTTTATGAATGACCAGAATTGCACATCTTTGCTTAAATAAAATTTTACAGATCTGGCTTGGCATATATATAAGAAAATAACCTACTTAAAATGTGCTCTTTAAAGTTGATCATAGTCTATAAGTGTTATGTTAAAATATAAAATATACTCCATTATTAATTTCAAATGATGAAATATATTAAAATTTGACAAGCTTTTGTGCCGTACTTTTCATTATAGAGTTTGTGCTTTTCATTTAGTCACTTATTTTTAAGTTAAGATATTAGTTTGAAAATAAACTTGTATTTATCTGTAGCTGTCAAATTATATGTGTATTTTAAAGATTAATATTCAGTATAGAATATTCTGATTATAGTGAACCTTTAATTATAGCAACCAACTGATAAGCATTTTAATTTGTTGATGCTTGTCCTTCCAGTAGTATCCTTATGTTTGTATACCCCAGTTTCTTTATGTATACTCTTTTATCCATGTGACATCATATGATAGTTAGTAATTTTCTGATTTATAGCTATATTTTCATAGGAAATAATCAATTCTTTATTTTTAAATAGATCTATATTTCATTATAATTGTCTTGAACTATTTAACCGGAGTCTTTTTGTGGGTACTATATATGTATATATCCTGAGTACCTATAGCATGAATTAGTATGTACTTCAGAGCATTAACAGAGTTTACTTTTCTAGATATTGGATTATGAACTAAGTCTTATGGTTATTTAGTAATTTTGTACCGGTTGCAAATGTCCACGAAGATTATTAAAATGTAAAAGGTTTAAGAGTTCATCCATTCCAGTATTCAACCAATTATGCCTGTGTCTTTCCTTTGACAAGTATATTAGTAATAAATGCTTACATTTAATTTTTGTTTTTTAATTTTATTGATAACACACACTATGTAAAAAATAATTCAAAACAATGGCCTGCATGATAAATATTGTACTTCCATTTATCTGTAGTTACAGTAATAGACATTTCTAAAATAAAGATACTTATATTTTATAGTAATTTAATAGTGTAATTTACATGTTAACTTCTATACCATCAGAGATTAATATTTCTGAGTCAGTTGTGAGTTAAGATCTAGATTTGTTTATTTTCCAGAAGTGAGTCTGGAATACAAGAATCACTCATGTTAGGGCACTTTATCTCTGACCTATAACTACAACCTTAGATATTTAAATTTTTTATATTGGTAGCTACCTATTACTTTTTGAAACACTTATATAGTAATCTTTTCATCTGTGCCTATTGAAACTGTTTATGTACCATGTAAACTGACTCAGTTGGATCAATTTCTACTTTCTGTTCATTTTTATTGAACACAATTTCAGAAAATAATGCAATGGGGAAAATTTTTGTTGTTTTAGAGATAGTCACACTATGAATCCCACGATGGCCTCAAACTTTCTGTGTATCCCAGGCTTGTTTCAATACTATGGGACTTTTAAGGTCAATTTATATTTTTTGAAATTACTTGAATTGATTGAAATAAGTTGATATATTAAATAAAAATAATAAATCAAATGTAACTCAAGGTATTTCCAGAGATTACTATTATTCTCATTTAAATAATATTTTGTAATGATTTCTCAATTCTCTAAACATCATTTCTTAGATTAGTAGTAAGACTGAATATCTTTTCATAGTTTTATTTTCCATTTAGCAATAATTTGTTATCTGCTTTTTCCCAAATGAATGAAAAAAGAATTAATCCGTGTTGAACTCAAAAGGTAAAGTGACTTGAGCATTGAATTAATGAAACCATGAATATTTTAGAAAATATCATTGCTATAACATTCCATATAAATCTTTATTATAGGGTTTAGTATAAAGTTATATATTTAGAAGATTTTTATAATTTTAAATTATGAATTCATATTCACATACATATTTTGTAAATTCTTTAATGGGAAAGAAACATATAAAAAGTCATACAAAATAGTATTTAAGAATTTTATGATTTTTGATTTTTTCTATAATCTGTGAATTTTGAAATTAGATGACAGCTTCCAATCATACTACTCTTTCATATATTTTCTTCCTTAGGTATTATATATCATTTGGTGTTTTACTTATTAGATATAATTTATATACATACACACACACACACACACACATATATATATATCATATGCATTTCTTCATGTAATTCATGTAAGCAGTTTAAGTACAACATATATTTTCTACTATAAGTATATCTACATGCTTTAGTTCCAAAACATTATGTAGCTAATTTTCATCAGAAGATTATGTATAAACTTCATACACAATGAGTGCTCTGTCTGTTCTTTTATCTTGTTATTGTTTATCTAATACTAAATTCTCGTTCTTTAGAGTAAATAATGTTTATCACAGAAATTCTTAGCTACACAGGTTATACATGAGTCTTTAAGAACTGTGTATAACTTTCCTGATAAGGATATATGCATAGATCCTTGTATTGTTATCTCTCTCTCTCTCTCTCTCTCTCTCTCTCTCTCACACACACACACACACACACACACACACACACACAATGGCAAGTGTGTCAGTGTTTGTTCAATTACAAATATTTATAAAATGATGCATAAGCAGCTTATTACTTTTAAGCTTTTAAATTAAAATGGTGTAAATTGTATGTTTGTTAACATGTACACATGTGTGCATGTCTGTGTATGTGTGTCTGTACTACCTGGAAGTACATATAGAAGTTAGAAGACAAATTTGAGGAGTTGATTCTCTCATTGTACCATGTGTCCAGGTTAGCATGGCAAGCATTTTTACCCACTGAGCCTTGCTACAGAGACCAGTTCGTTTTTTTCTTATTGTTGTGTCATTTGGAGATGAAAAATCATCCTGACAGTGTTACTTAGCTAAACTAGTATCCCATTCCCCATTTTGTTTTTAAAAAAGCTATTAAAATCAATGTATGCAACAAACTTTAATAAATCTATACACATTTGGCATCATCTCTGCCATTAAGATAACAGATTTTGTCATACCAAAATTTTTCTCACACATCTACATATCTATAGTTCCTCCCTCTGTTGTTTTGTAATAATTAATCTATTTAGGGTCCTATACATTAATTTTTGATTTTTGCTTTTGTAAATTAACAGTATCATTGAATATTCATCATGTTTTGCCTGTATTCATTCTCTAGCAAAAAAATTTCAAAATTTATCCATTTTGTATGTATCAAAAATGCTTTTCCTACTTTTTATTGAGTAGTGATATATTTTGTGTAAGTAGACTATTCTTATTCATCTGTTTAAGTTTGACTTTGTGAATAAAGTTGCTATGATCCCTTTGTGAAAAAGTATCGATATGGACAAGGACATATGTTTTTGTTTCTTTTAGAAAACATTCCTAGGAGTGGAATGGCTGGATCAAATGGTAGGTGCATGTTTGCCATTATAAGAAATCTATTTCTCAAATAGGTTATTTTCAACTCTACCAACAGTAAAAATATTTGCTGTGTTCAGGGTTTTTAAATATAACCATTCTTATAGGTATGTGGTAGCATAGTCTTGTGGTTCTTATTTGCATTTCTCTAAAGACTACTGATGTTGAGCATCTTTTCATATGCTGATTTGCTAATCACATATGTTCTGTGAAGTATGTACTCATATTTTCTCTATTTAAAAATAAGTATTACTTACATTGCTACTATTCTTTGAGTGGTCTTCTATACTGTCTACATGAGTCCTTCATGTAAAAAAGGTTAGCAAATCCAGTGTGAACTTATTTTATCTTCTCTCAACATTGCCTTTAATACTTTTCAGAAAAGAGAAGCTCTTTTTACAATTAAAATGAAGTCCAAGTAATATTGTTTTCTAAGTATCATGTGTCATCCAAAGTCACAGTTTTTTTTTTTTGGCTTTTGTTTTCTTGTCTGTATGGTCAATGATATACATACATACATACATACATAT